GGGCACGTTTACAATAATTTCTCCATTCAAAAAATCTCATTTACTAAGGACGTGGTTTTACGCCTCCAAATGATCGTTTTTGGTCACCGTTAGCTACTGTGCCAGAAAAATTTAACTTTTAGCTTGACATCATGAATTTATTTTTGGTTTTCACTTCCAAGAAACATTTTTGCTAAATCATAGAGCCAAGTTTGTTCTATTTTTCTTCTTTTACGACTGTTCTTTTGGAGAGAGGTAATTGGAATTAAATACAATGGTAGGGGTTCTGATCTCCACCTCTAAATGCCTCCCATCTTTCCATCCTTTCAGAGGTGTCGCTTGTATCGCTTTGGATGTAGTAATTTTAGTACTTTTTTGATATGCCTCCACTGAGCTTCACTTTGGCCACCTGCTTAAGCAAATTAATTTGGTCATCTTGGTTTAACAACCGAAAAAAACAAGGTAACAGTGCGTAATTGTTTAACTGCATTGGTCGGAGTGCCCGATTCTTTGTTGATCTCTTTTTCCATGGTCCGTGCCACCACAAGGTGAATGATGTCTTGACAGGAACATTAACCGAGGCGATCCTGGATATCAACCAAATGTGGCTGCATCAAATAGGCTCTGCATTCACCTGTCGCTTCAACAATGCGTTCCAATAATAGGTCGGAGTGAAATGATGGGCAATTTTTTGACTCTTAAGTTCTTGACATGTTGTCAAGACTCCTCAACTTTTTCAACTTGCCTAAGAGGGTAGGCTTCGAGATGTGGAGAAAAACTGGTAACTTGATGGGGAATATGTTTAGGTGTTTGTTCATCCCTTTTACGCTTAATAGAATTTTGATTCCTTGAGGATACTTTGGCCGTCAAATGTTTGACCGTTCTGTTATAATCAACTGCGTTTACTGGATCATTAAATCGGAGCTTGCGTTCCTGATGCTTGTTTCATAAGGCTGTGCAGTCGCGGCTTTGAAGAAATGCCACTGCTTGAAGGCGAATGGGGAGGGGAAGGGAAGGAAGACTGACATGTTTCCCTCCTAATCCTTTTCTTGCATCGCCCTTTTTCACCACAACTGACAGAAAAGAAGTTCCTCCCACTTCTTAATCTAAGATTGCTCTCCCACCTAAGCGTCCATTAAATGCAAGTCGAATTGGGGTATTGCTAGTTTGCGGAAAACAATACCATTCCTGATAGTTGTCATCTGGAGAGTTTTCCTCCAAACAGAGAGGCCTAGCTGGGCTCAGATAGCATGAGTAATTGTGAATGACATTTGGGAAACTGAATCATTCATCTCTAAACGCACACAGGATGGTGATAATGACAAATCTGAAGTGAAAACAAACACCGGAAGTACTGTCCCGTAACTTGCCTTAACACCCACTCCATAGCCTGGCTGGATTAGCGTACTCACGGAGGTGTCATAACCCCTGGAAGGGGACAATCATAAATCCAGCGCATGCAAAGGCACTCTAATTAACCTTGGTATATACGCCTTGTAAAAGGGAGAGTCGTAGCTCTTCCATCGGCATAGGCAATTACTACATCACACCACACACATCTTCAAGAAAAAGTACCTTTTCATGTTTTTTTCTCTTGGTTGATAACACTGCCGTCCGTTCTGGGTACAATAAAGAACGGTAAATAAATTTGCTTTTTTACTACGGTAAACTGAGGACCTGGAATGACGGTCTAAAGGACATTTCTGAGGTAAAGGGCAGGTTTATTAGTCAACTTCGTGTTTGTAGTAAGAAAAAAGGAAGTTGGTTTTACTACTTCCTCACCAAAACACACCCTTGTGATGCGTGGACAGTTTGCCTCTCCTCTCACCATTCACGTCTGCTTTAACCACTTCGATTCCACTAGACACTTTGCATTGCTCGAACCCCATCTTAAGTTGTTGACCCACTGCATAACTCCACCACTGCTGCGGAGAGGCTTAGAATGGCTTCAATTGAGTTATTTTTTGTGCATCCAAAATGTTAACGCCTTATTCGTTTCATGCAGGGCGCGAAAATCAAATTCACTTCTGATTGCCGACAATTTTTGCCATGTGGACATGGAGATTTGGAATTGAGGGACAAAAACTCAGAAGAGTCGAGCACTTCTCATTCGAACCAAAACGTTGTTGTCTTGGTAATCAGCGCATACTTAAAATCTTTATTAAGTATTTGACAATTAGATTAGTTTGTAAACTTTCAAATGCCAAAAATAAACAAACGCAAAAGCTTACTTAAATAAACAGTGCCATGGCATTATTGAAAGGCGTTCTTGACGCGTTGGTCCTGACAGTGAATAGGGCAAAAATTGACACCCTTCTAGTCGTCATTAAGAAGGGAAAGTCTTTCTGAGGGACACCTTACTCTCAACCGTTCTTGAGCTGTGCCTTCTGCCGCCGCATAAGGGCATAAAGAAGTTGGCGCTTTTGTGACTTAAAAATCTCATTGCTTGAACTCAGTCAAAGTGCTACGCTACGAGAGTTGAGGATCGGCTAAGGCAAAGGCAGGAGGAGTGATGGTGGAGACTTTATAATGCATACGCATAAAGAGTTGCGGGAAATCGTCAAATCCTAATGAGTTATAAGGAGTCACTGGTTTGGGCTCTCATCCATACTTTCACAAGCGGTTTTGGTAACTTAATTTTTGTTTAAAACGGCAGGCAAAGCTAACCTAAACAATCCTCAGGCAAGAGAGGAAGGTTAATGCCACCCAAAGTAGGTGTTTTACTAAGGGTGCTATTGAGATAATGTAAATTAGTTAAAAAGAACCAAATATGTCATTCAAGCGCAAGGTAATGGGTTGGGGACAACAGACCTTCGAGGCGAGGTCAGTCTTGGATGCAGTGACACCCAGTCAGATAGCACTGTTTGCTTCATTGCCATTGCACTGTACCTACCGGAGCGATTTGTTTTATCCGATCAGATTCCTGCAACCGAAAATTCTCATGGTGACCGCATTCAATATACCGCACCGGATGTATGGACAAATAAATTTGTCCGCAGTTTTATTCTGTGAAATTTCGGCACACCGCCTAAGCGAACGAGTAAAGCCAACAGAGGCCCTTTGTGTTGTCTGAGTTTCGAAACCTGATTCCTGGCGTTATTAACTGCGCTTTCGAGGTTGCATTTCCCCGAAGGAGTTGTGTGCTCCCATCGTAACCGTCATCATTATCGCATTCATTTGAAGTTGATAAGTAGGGCACTTTTTTCTCCATCCCTCCCTCCCTCCCTCCCTCCTTCCGATGATGATTAAGCCTTCAAGATGCCTTACTCGAATGGCAGGGCGGTTTTTACGACACAGCTTAACAACTCGTGATACATGTTGTTGTTTAAAAAGCTGTCAGACACTGGGTTAAATGGGTGAAATGAAAACTAAGACGTTTTCTAATTCACAGATTAAAAACTAACGTAGAAGTTAACTTTGGCAATTGTATGTAAACACTTTTAAAATATAAACATTTTAATCCACTGGGTTAATTCAAACTGGATCAGCACGTTTTGATTTAATCAGTTTGCTATCGTTTTAAAGAGCTCTGCCATTGTTCCACATAGTTCCTCATTTTCCTCGTTTACCAACACTCTTAATAAAGGCTTCAAGTCTTACTTTTGGTAGCTAGACTAGGCTCAAAGATCTTCCTCTTTTTTATGCTCAATTAAATAAAGTTTTCCAACGGTCTGATGACGGACTCAGGGGTGGCGTCCACGACGAAAAAGAGAAATGACACAGTGTTGGCCTGTTAAGCGATGAGAAAAGTGAACGAACGTCCGGATACATACTGCAAGAGCAAACATGAAGACCCTCAAGGATGGCGCTCCTTAATGCTCTTTATTTCTTATGCTACACGTGTGTGAATTTGGTTTTTGATCCGAACTCCTGTACCGCCCATATCTGGACCATTTGCTTTGAGGAGTAGGTGAAAGATGAGCAACGAGAAGCAAATTTAAAGTTAATTGGTGTCAAGTTGTGACAAAAAGGGAACTTCTAATCTACTGTGTTATAGCTTTGAGAGGCCCTAGTGACGGTTGCTTGACCGCAACTAGTCAAATCGCTTTTAAAAGTTTATGTTTGCCACTGCAGGGAGGAGGACTCCCAAGGTCGGGTGACTAGTTAATTTTCACTTGACACACTTTCTGTGTAACCGTTACGCACAGGCGGAGCGTCATTTTGTAGCAGTCACGTTGAGGTCACGACCTCCTCTTAATAAGTCGGAGGGATGTGTTCGTGCCTCATGCCAACGCCCATCACATTTCAAGCCAGCGGCGATAAAAGTGACGAGGATTATGATTTGCTAACTTGATTCGATGACATAAACAGCCATCAAGCCTCCCGCCTTGTAGCTTTGCCGTCATGGTCTCCACCTCCTTTGCTTTTTGGCCACAAAAATGCTTCTCTCCACTCCCTATATGAGTGTCACGGGCGCAAGGGATCAGACCTGTACGTCACGATTATTAAAAATTCTTAAGGAGCGGTCACAAAAGAGTGTTAACGGCAGCCGAAAATTGTGGCGTGGAAATCGAGCTTCGACGTTTTAAACTTTGCATTTCGATCCTTTTTAAAATGGCCCATCTACTCCTCTGATAGTGGGAGTGGATTGGAAGGAGTGTGCGTAGAGGCCAAGTCGACCACAAAACATCTTGTTCTGGCGGTTGTCTCCAGTCTATACTTCTGGAAATTGTTGATCTACTCATATCCATATTTTATTGTTAGCTCTTTTGCTGCGTCTTGTAATGGCAAGGGTGTACAACACCTTGAAAGTATGCGCGAAGCCTTTAACTTTTTTTGAGTCACCAAATCTTGTGGAAGCAAAGTTTACGTCTTCTGCATTCAAACAAAGAGTCTCTCGGGCAGCCATGACTGGCACTGAGACAGTTGAGTGATGCATATTGCGATGTTATTTGAAATGGGGAAATTGCTTCTAAATACAGATACAAACAGTGCCCCTTGGTGCTCCAGACTCAAGTTTTTACGATGCGGCTATCAAGAGCTTGAAATGACAATTTGTATTCGTTCCCTTTAGTACCTCCGGGCGTGCTGGCGAGTGCGTGGAAGGTGATGGGGAAGCATTTGCCGCGTCAGTCGAAACCACGCCAAAGTAAGAAGCCTTCATTGTTGCATACATTTGATCACAGCAATAAGTTGAGCGAAATGGAAAAATTGGGTCCATTTTTGTCCACCCGCTATCTCATTGTTGTTGACAGTGGTAGCAGGCAGCGTTTCAGACATGCATTAAAGTTATGATCAAAATGCTATAGGTAAATAGTGGAGTAAGAAGTGATAGCATGCTATAAATGCAGTATGCAATGCCTTGCCTGCCGAGAAATGGTAGGGCTCTATACTTTAAGTGTATTGTGATAGAGGTCTAATACAGAAGGCAGTTGTTTTTATTTTAAACAATCAAACTGAAAAATTAGTTCGTGCAGTGTTATATCTCATTTGGCTGTCTGAGACTAATTTGGCTAAAAGCCTTTTAGGGGGACAATCCCACGAGACGTATAAGTAAAAAGACCTTTTTTTGAATAACTCATGCCGGGTGCATTCTACTCATTTGATTTAAGCAGTATATTCACGGGTGGTCAACTTGAAAAATATTCATATTTGCGGCCCAAATTGGGAATGATGCATGATAAAATACGCAAAATATTGGTAGTACACGCAGGTTAATCACTCAGAGCCAATGATTCATCAACGGGCGTAGGAACGACGTTTGCATTTGCTAATTGGTGGGCTGAATCATTTATCTCCTAAAACAATTGCACAGCAAAATGGATTTTTAAATTAGACTTCCCAAGGAATCGTCCTTTCAAATTGAGCTTTACAGCCGTCCTTACGAAGGAGTAACCTGGTGACCGTAGTTAGATTTTGCTTACTCTGTCCCAAATTAATCTTATCATTAATTAAAATTGTAATTTACCGAGAAATTGGGGTTTCATCCACGTCACCTAGACCGTTTAAACCAAACCGCTAGTGCTCTCCGTTATGCAACCAAAAGTACCAAAGTGCTTCTCACACTGCTCACTCGTTGCCGATTTCACACTTATAAGGTGCCACACCACACTTCCATCATCGAATTTCTTGTCCCTAAAACTTGTCTGTAACATCACTGATTGGCAAAATGCAAGCTTAAAGCAATTTATTCTCATACTTGAAGCCAAGAAGAAGCTCGCTTTCCGTGGGAGGACCTCATTGTATCAATTTAGGATAAAAAGGATGTGTTTTGCCTAATCGCATTGGCTCTATTACCTTAACAATATTCTTTAAATGGGGAGCACAAATGTTCCTAGCGTCTGAAATTTGAGGTGAAACAAAAAGGGGGGTGAATAGGATCAGGGTGATTGGTGTTGGAGGAAGAATGTTCAACAAAAGTGAAACTTATAAGCCTATTTCACATTAGGCAAAGACTTCAAAAGTTAGCGATTGAGGTTTCAATAATTAGAGTACACAGACTTATTTTATGACATCGGAGGACGAACTTATGGCGATTATGATGGATTAAAGTGTTCTCGGCGAAGTCTTAAAAGGCGGCAATACGACTACTGTAAAATGGCAGTGCTGAGGGGTTAAATCTGGCGGTTTCTTGAGCTCGAAAGCATTTAACAGGAAATGAAGAATTCCTCTTTCTCAGAATTGAACGACCGTCCATACGACTTTTGTGCACATTTCCAATGGCCATGAAACCTTTCCTAATAATGGAAGAGGTCAAGGCTTTGAGATTGCTAATAGGTTCTGAGGGCATGGATAAAACTTGGATGAAGTTAAAAAGATGGTCCAACTTAACGAATAAATGATATTCACAACTTATGGTGCCATCTTAGAAGACCTACACGAGTCCAGCTCTCACCACTAGTGAGTTAAAGCACCACGATTCGAAAACAAAGGATCCACTATTTTCGTATTCTTTCGAATAGCCTATCAGAAAAAGAATCGTCGGGAACAAAACTCACTCCACCCTGTTCGTAGTCCAATTCTTCCATCCTACCAACACGAACAAAGAGATCCAGGCGTTTATCTAAATCCCCCACATAACGAGTTTGACAGAGCCGCTTACTCCGCATTTATGGAAGAAACCGTACTTCCAAGGACAACGATTCCAACCGGTAAACAAGATCACCTACTTGTTTTCTATTAGTAAACACATTCCCGACACTTTACTTGCTCAGATGTTCCAGCGTCAACGAAACTTCTGCCTACCAATGTCTCCATGTTCCCCTTGGTGCTGGGTGTCCTGGTTGGTCTGGCTGTCCTCATTCTTCTCATCCTCCTCCTTATTGCTCTGGGCTTTCGAACCCGTCGTCAAAGGGCCGCATATGCGCGTCGAAAGGCCCTTTCTGACCAAGCCAATACAGAGACAACTTTATCAGAAACGGATAAAGTACAGCAGCAACAGCAACAGCAACAACAGCAGCAGCATCAATCTGCGCCCTCTCTGACACAACAAGCAAGCAGCGCAAATAGCTACGGCTATCAACAGAGTAGTGATAGTGGTGCTGGTGGTGGGATCGCTTCTACTTACCTACCGCACACCATGTTTGCAGCGGAGACTTGTTGGCCTGCTGGACTTCAGCCGGTCCCACAGGGAAGCAATTATTTCAACGAGGAGACGCCAGGAGTTGCGTTCCCACCCCTAGCAAGAGATTCGGGATCACATGGATATGTACAGCTTCCTGTGAGTACCATAAGATAACCAGCAGTGACAATCACGTCAGGCAAACTCAGGGCCGCACAAAGTCACCCTACATGATTGTATCAAAGTCTGGGACATCATAAAGCAACTGAGCGTCTTCCAGTTCCAACTAGTGCATAATTTAGAAGACCATAAAACGAAAGAAGGGATCATTGGAATTCATTGAATTGTGTCACGTAGACCCTGCGTAGAAATGAAGAATGTCTGCACTTAGCCCTTATTCCTTTCCCACTTATGTCTTTGGCTAATTTTTTTTCCTGCACAAGGACATTCCAATTGTATTTTACCTAAAACCTAGCACTTCAAGGCGTTAAAATCAAGCAAAGCAACGAAACCAGAAAACGTGTTTTAACGCATTAAAGCAGTTGGTAAATGCCACCTTCTTGATAAATCCTTTGTTTGTGGGCGTTTGATCTTGGACACTGCAGGCTGTTATAGAGTCCGAGACTGATTTGGCGTTACCCTCGCGTAGGTCTCCAACTCACACAATAGCGGACTTGTGTACAGCCATCAGAGCAGCACCACCACCATGAACCGCTCAGCCAATCACCTTCTTCCCTACTCAGTTCCGCACACTTGTGTGCCAACGGAGAGTTTTTCAGTAGCCCCAAGGATGTGCTCACCGGCGGTGAACTCCAGTCTCTCTACGGAAAGCGATCGTTTCTCAGGCCAAGCTAGCAGTCACCCCTCATCGTTTCAACCCTTGTACCCATCTTCCGGAGCTGCCCACATCTCTCCACCGAGCCTTAGGAGACAGAATCAGCTTCATACAACACATCCACAACAGCAATTATGGGTAGGATATGACGAGAGTCCAGTTACCTCTGCAGAAGCTTCCAATCCTCTTTTGATGACCCAGGGAGTAGAAGATCTCCAAGTCGCCGTCTCCGCGTCTTTTGAGAGTCTAATTGAACCACCAGAGAGCTTCAAAAATCACCCAAAGTCTACAGAATTACTGATGGACACGGTGCCCCCACGCATGGCACAACTTCGAAGGCTGGAAAAGTCCTACGAAGGTAATCAGAGCTGGAAGTGGCGGGATGGGCAGTTTAGTGATAATTGATTAAACTTGGTGCTGCCCTTCCTTGATTGCATCCCCTCCCTAGCCCTTGGGCCTACCCACAGAAACATCCACTTTTCAGCGTCGCAGTTACAAGTCATAGGGAGTAGATCTCCCATTTCTCCCCCTCCCTTTCTGCTTTCCCTACTACTTGAAAAATGCATTTTGTGAAACACGAAAATGTGTGTAATATCTTCTGATTGACTGATGTCGGTTCTTTAAATTTGGTCTTCCCTTAAGGATTTCGATGTCAACATAGGCTATCTCGACCTAAATGCGTTAAGAGGTGTAGTATTTTGTACAAAATTACTTGTTTTAAAATGATACAACTTCAATTTCATAACGGAGAGGTTTGTTTTACCTTACTGTAAGACGGGCAGGCACTTGCAGAAGGGTTTGTGCAATTTCTTGCTACAGTTAGCTGCATTCTATGGGGACCTTTCGGTTGTGTCAACTCGTCTTCGTCAACACCTTTGCCGTGTTTTACTTTTGGTTTGCTCTAAGCTTTCATGTCATGAAATGCAGTCTGAGGCTGAGATCGTTTACTATACAAATGCAGCTCCGTCGCCAGGGTAGCAGGAGATGCTTCTACATCCTGCA